ACTATTCTTGACGACAGCGCCACCACCCTTCTTCACAAGTTGCCGTGATACCCCGGATGCTGACGTCACCAGTCCGGTTGCCGTGGTGATCACACGTGGCGGGAACGAGAGCGAAGCCTGGCCGCGCACGCGCACGGGAAGATGCACCGTACCACCCACCTCCCGATCACGGAGCTCAACCCGCACCTCATGTGTGTGATCTGCGGGGGGTACTTCATCGACGCAACAACCATCATAGAGTGTTTACACTCCTGTAAGTACACAAACAAACAAACAAACAAACACCATCATAGAGTGTTTACACAAGTTAACAAACAAACACCATCATAGAGTGTTTACACTCCTGTAAGTTCAACACACAAACAAACAAACTAGAAAGGTAACATTTGCAAAGCATAATGTTTACCTTCGCATATGATCTGCTCTGTTAATTCTTACTCAAACACATTCACGTATATGGTGACAGGAGTCTAAATCCCTCCTACTATAAAATTGCAACATTATGTAACCCAACACTAGTTACCATGGTGACAGATTTCTGGTTCAGGTCATTAACCTTATTTCTTCGTAGAAGAAACAACAATACGTTTTCCTTCTACGAAGGTAAACATAACAAAACATGTCGATGAATGTTAGACATGTTAGGTAATGAAATACACATTGAATTGTTCCAAGTAACATCCACTACGAAAAGTAAAGTAGCATCCACTACGAAAAGTAGAAGACAGAATCTTAATTTCTCTTTATTTCTTCCAGTCTGCAAAACATGCATCGTGAAGTACCTGGACACCAGTAAGTACTGTCCCGTCTGCGATGTACAAGTTCACAAGACTCGGCCCCTGCTCAATATACGGTGAGTCCCACAAGTCTTTCTACCTTTTTTTTGCATTGCTGAATGAATGAATCATCTTTATTGCTCGACGGTTGTACAGGGTACAATGCATCGCAACATTGACAATGTGATCATTACAATAATTCTAAGTCTATTCCTATGACTACATAAATATTAACGTAAATGGCGTACTGGCATGATGTACATTTCTGTCTGTCACAATTCTTTCTCTCTTTTCTAAAGCCCTACAATAAATATTGGCCAAGGTACATAGATATGGAGTCGGGACATGACATAAGTAGATTGAGTGATTTACTAGTAGTCCTGTAGCTTGAGAAGTGAAGTTTTGAGTTAAAGCATACGTTGAACTACTTGTTTTATCCACCATTGTGTTTTCCAGAGCGGACAAGACCCTACAGTCCTTGGTATACAAGCTCGTGCCCAACTTGTTCAAAGGTAAGAAACTCGGGTGGAAATGATAACGTAGCTTCGGTTAGGGACGTCCCTTGGATAGGACGTTAAATGGAGGCCCCGTGTTTGGGGAGAGCCACCCACCACCCAACCCACCGTACTTATCGAAAAAAGTACCTTCCCGGTGTGAGTGGTTCAAACCTTACAGTCCGGTCTTACGCATCTTGTACTTACATGTAAAAAACTGGTGTGTTACGCCTAAAGGCGGTTTACCGGATATGCGAAACAAACAAAAACAAGAAATGTTTTTCCTCCAGATGAGATGAAAAGACGGCGTGATTTTTACGGGCAGTGTCCTGACCAGGACCTGGCGGCGTCCAGCGAGGAGAGAGGAGAGGTGGAGGACCTGCAGATTTACACTCCTGACGAGCACATCAGCTTGTCACTCGAGTACTACAGAGAGTAAGGGAACTTCTTATTTATCTACAGCTACATCTATAGCCTGGGTACCATCCTATTTGTTTCCCTGGCTCCCATACTCGCTCCCTAAGCATACACATAGGATGGTACCCAGGCTACTACATCTATGCCCCTCGAAGGGAATTACGTTCAGGGAGAAATGTCATTGCCCCTAAGGCGACCGGTGGTAGTGGTTGTACAAAGTAAATGGAAATCGATAAAGAGACAAAAATGACAACTGTTTTAGTCTGTCATTGGAGTTTCAAAGAGAGTAAGGGACCATCTTATCAGCTTTAGTGCCTCCCTTCTGTTTTTATTCTCTCACTGGAGTTTTACAGAGAAGAATGGGCGTTCAAGGGACGGTCTTATGTAATTTTAATAGGGGATAACTGGCCAGGGAGTTAAGCGGCCATAGAGGGTCCAATTTGCCTTCACGCAAAATAGGATGAGTGGGTGCATGGAAAAAATGACAGAATCGTACCCCTTGATGACGTTGTCTGTGTCTCCACCCGTCCCAGATCTGAAGCGGCGTCGGCTGCTGAATCCGACCAGGAAAAGGACGAGACGGAGACGAGACAGGACAAGCAGGACACGTCTCCCAAACCTGACGGCAAACGGAAGAACGGAGAAACAGACGTAAGACGTTTTTTTATACCTTAAGTACGTGCCAAATTTAATCACCTTTCCTAGTTTACGTTAAAGCAACTGTAAGGCAACTTTACCTTTTTTCAACACAAAAGATAAAACTCCCAAAAAATGTTCATCCGTAAGGTGTAATCTCCAGGCCTTTGCCAACTTTCCTGACGCGCGCTGATCTTTGGTATGTGTGACGTCAGGAGTGGGTCAAAGGTCACCAGGAAGTCGATACCTTCTGCCGTCCCGGTTAGCCGTGGGTGGACCCAGATATATACGGCCTCTCGTAAAGTACTAGTCGTCCGATTCCGTGTCCAAAATCCGTACTTTGTTTAAGCCAAATTCTGAGACTCACAACACAAGATCAAGAAACAGTACAAACCAATAAATTAAACATAACCATATCTTTCTCCAGGACGTAGTTTACCCGGAGAAGCGGTTCCTGAACTGCCCGGCTGCCGTCACCGTCTCCCACCTCAGGAAGTTCGTCAGAAACAAGCTCGACGTGCCGCCCATCTTCAGGGTAAGTTCAGCAACTACGTTTTGTTTTTTTATTTATTTTTTATTGATTTCATCTAAGGCTTTCCCCTACAGCTATGAAGCTGATTTCCAAGGGGGTCAGCTAACGACAAAACGGTACAACATGTAAAATCAAGGTACATAGATAACATAACATGGGTACAAAATTAGAAACACTGAAGAACATAATAAGGACGTGTGGCTAACAAAAGTAGATAATAACAAAATTACAAAACCAGGTCATCAAGTCATTGACGTAATCCAAAACCAGGCCCAAATGCCGTTCCAAAGTCAAAATCTTAGGAGGTCAGAGGTCGATTTCCCACTCGCAATCCGTTCTTTGTACGTGTCGGATTATCATCGCAAAAAATACTGATAACATAATTTATTGTCTTTTCTATTCCATTCTAATTCCGTTCAGGTTAAACTGCATATAAGGGAAAATTTCGACGGTAACAAATTTTTCCGAACATAATAATTTCTTCTGTGTTCAGGTTGAGATTATGTACGGAGACGAGCCATTGAAGGATGACTACACACTCATGGACATAGCCTATATCTACACGTGGAGAAGGGTAAGTACGAAAGAAACAGTCTCACTCATTTATGGTGTGTTTTTATGCGTTTTATCAGACTCTCTTTTTTGTACTTTTAATTATTTACGTCAACCTTGCTTGGGGAGGCAAATGGCTACTGCTTGGCCAATTTGATACTGACTTTGCAGCCACCAAAAGACCTGCTCTGAGGTTACGTGTAATAGAGTTTTGCACTCACCAAGGACATTATACAAGATATAATGTCCTTGCTCTCACCAAAATTTGTCTGTTTCCAGAACGGTCCCCTCCCCCTGACGTACCGTGTTCTAGAGAACCCGAGTAAACGGCTGAGGTCGGAGTCAGGCGAGCCGGCAGTCAGTGTGAATGGGGAGGGCAGCAGCAGTAGCAGCACCACCACGGAGCATGCGCCGGCAGAAACCGTCACCACGGCTTCTACGTCATCACAACCACAGACAGCTACAGGTAGCAAAATTTGTCTTTGAAAAATCAACAATTTATATCAAGAATATACGCAAATACTTCCCAGTATTAATTTTTTCAACTTTTTTGTGCTTTGCTGTCTATTATATTATACTTTTCGTTCTATAAAACTGTCCGGCCAGCACCGGCTTGGAAATGGGACGCTACGAGCTTGCCAAAATTTCAATCAAGGTAACAAACCTAATCTCACGGTGGCAAGGCAGTATTCATTGGCTAGAGGAGTGTCCATTAGCCACAAACACTCCTCTGGCTAATGGATACTGCCTGGCCACCGTATGATCTGCTTGGAGATTAAGCAAACCTGGTCTTTGATGAATAAGACAAACTTTGGAAAGGATGTTCTTTTTTAACAATCCTGTTTCGCTTTGACAGCAATCCAACACAAGGGGATAGCTTACCAAATTTTTGAGCATGTCTATTGGTCTTCGGCCCGCTTTTCTGTCGCGCACTGATCTTTGGGATATGGGTCAAAGGTCGTTGGAAGTCTATACCTGCCGCCGTCAATAGACAAGTCTCTTTGACAGCATATTCTTGTAGACTGACACTATATGCGCTATTCTGAAATATTTACGGATACTTTTTTTAGTAGAAATTAAGCAAATTGATATTTTTCAGGGCCGACTGAAGCATTGGACCTGCGCAGCACGTCTCCCGCCAGTGCGCAGGCGCAGGAGCGACCAAACGGCGGCGTTCCGGGGGACACCGGATGACTCTGTGTCGGCAGGGGGAGGGTCAGGGGCAGGTCAAAGAGCAGATCAAAGGGCAGGTCAAAGGACAGAAGCAGGTCAAAAACTCGCCGACTCAAAATAAAAAGGAGAAATAAGCATATCGACGATTCCGAAATAGCAGCGCGTTTGCAGAGTTTGATTTTAGCTTGATACACAAATCGCTAAAATATCAACGTAGACCACAAGTGGGCTAGAACAATATTTTAAGTTGGTTAATTCTTCACTCTGATCCGTTATAATCCAGCTACAATATCCCCTGAAAGCTGATGTAAAACCAAGGAGGTTTAAAAGAAAACCTCCTTGGTAAAGCACAAAGCATTATCACCATGTAAATAATGCAAAATGGCAACTATAAGACTTAGTATACCTCGGATAACATTACAGTTTTTAACAGAAATTAATAACAACCAACAGGTGAGTAGAGAGTGAACATACCTCTCTGAAATGGTACCAAGTTGTTAGCTACCAAGTTGTAAGCATGTCTTCAGGGTGTTTAGGTTTACACATTCAACTAGCAGTCTATTTCTATCTAGGCAGCATACAGTATACACATAGGCAGCATCTTTACACAAAGTATTTTATGATAAATTATTTAAGATTAGATATGTAATAATATTATTGTGTACTGCAGCTTTGGTGATGGCAGAGTATTAAGAATACATCTGTACCATGGTTTAGAGCCATACAGCTAGGGATGGGCACATTATTTCATTTCTGTGGAACTACAGATACATTTAAGATTATTTAATTATAGGGACATTTGGGGTACAAACATTGAGGTACAAGAGGACTATACTATTTATGAGGCAGATTTTTTTAAACAAAAGGTGTATTAGTGCACTAGCTCTGAAAAAAATCTCTGTAATTAATACCGACCAGATTCTATTAGTATGACAAACTCTGCTCAAATTCAAAGCCCTATCAACGATGCTCAAACGTATTTATTTCCACCCCTCTGATTGGTGGAAAGAAACACACCTGTCTCTGATTCTCTTCATGCCAGAATCGCAACAGGCTCCGCCCCTTGAGGTGTAGCCAAAAACTACTAGTAGTTTCTAGTTTTCAGAACTGGGAAAGACTTAAAACTCAGGCTACTTAAAAAGTCCTGCATATGTAGTAGATATTACTGTGGCACAGTAGCGGTGAGCAAAATTGTGACTTACAGTGCTCGGTAACACAGTGTACTGTACTGAGAAAATGTGTATTGAAGATCAGTACTACTACTACTACTGGGTTGGCGGAAAAAACGGTCCGGTCCTGGAGAAAAAGGGTGTTTATACCAGACTGGATCAGTTTTTCTGTTGACCCTACTACTATACCATGTACATTCATATTGTGTACTGTAAAGTTGGTGTCCTTTGGCAAAGTCAAAGTTTTTGCTGTTTAGAATATTGAGGGTGCCATGAATGATGTAGAAAAAGTTCAAAGTGAGAGCAATAGGTAAAAGAAACTGGACCACAGTTGTTAATATCATGACATGTGAATGGATGAAGTTAGTAACGTTACATGCTGAAGTCGTGTATTTTAGTTCTTTTGGAAGTATTGAATCTCTAGCTTCACTTGCTTTAGTTTGGTTAGTTGGTTTGTCCCTACATGATGTTTACTAACTATTTAAACAAAAAATTTGAGCAAATGTTTGTAATCATGACAAAGTCATGTTTTTTTTACATTTTTTGTCACTTTTCAAAACTTTCCATATCACATTATCAGTACGCCTTTTAAGGGTCAAATTGCATGATGGGAAATGCAGGGAATTATGGGTACCTCAGAAGTCAAGCTACCCATGGTGCCCTACATCGCCCAGCATACAATGGGCTTCGTGGAAAGGTTTAAAAGCTTTGTCAATTTTCATTCCTAGCCCCCTTATGCTTAACAATCCAGCTTCTTATGGCAGAACTATGCACATAATATTATTTCAGTTAGAGCAAGTAATCTTGAAGTTTGTGAGCAAAGCTACCAACAAAAAGAAGAAACTTATTAAGTCTTTAAAACTCAAATCTCACGAAGCTATATCCTACATCAAAAGATGGCAAACCTTAAGAATCAAGCTTTAGAACTATTCTGGCTTAGACCCTGGTCTGTATATGTACAGTGAAGCATTATGTTCTTTTAATTGGTTCTGTTTGATCTTCTTCATGTTTCAGTTAAGCAAGCAACAAATAGGTGATTAGAGCTTATTTTTATATTAGATATTACCCAAGAAAGCTGGGAAGAAGAAAAGGTTGCTGTATAGATTTTGGGGCCTTTTTAGGGCCTAAGCTGAGCTAAGAAGAAAATGGTATTCATAAATGATGTAAGAAGAAACCAGACAAAATTAGTGGAGACATGACAAGGCAGCAGTGCAAAATAGAGCTTAAACCACAAGTCATTGTATTCATGGACAGGAACGTTTATGTATTTATTTTACCCCTACCATCTATTTGGTCTTTCTGTCACTTAAGTGTACTGTTGGGAGGTTTTGACTCTCAGCATTGGCAGTTGTTAACTTGTGTTATACTAGTATATCATTGTGTCACAAAAAGATTTGGGTAGAAACTTACCCTGTCCAGACAAACAGACACACAAACCCACAGCTCAGCCACCCAAAACAATACTTCCGTACTTGGAAACAACTTACAGACTCCTGTGGCATTGATGTAAAGGTACATTTGTAGACAGAAAAACTATGTTAGGGTGCAATATGTGGTAGAACTCTTTCTTTGTCATTAAGTTTTAGCTATTTATAATAAACACCTTATGTAGTTGACCTTTACACTTTATCAATACAGGTATAAGAAGAACACTTGTGTAAAACAAAACTGTTCGTTAAAAACCATTCCATTTTTGAAAACACTTTTTCCCAAAATGTGGGCAAGTGCAAGTATATGTATGTGAATTATGTGTGTCAGATGGTCAAAGGATAGAATACAAAAAAGGATCACATTATGTAAAAGAATAGCATACATGTACATTCATACATAACTTGTATCCTGGATTACCCCAGTTTGTTTGCTAATGCACAATGATATCAAAATGCAGACAAGAACACATTGTATATAACTGATGGTACAAAGATTAAACAATTTGGTTTATTGTACAAAAGTGTCTTTGTCTTTCTTATACATGTAGCATAAAGAATGCTTTGTGTAGTGTTGTACAATAATATACCTGGAACTAAGTGAGAACATATGATAACTAATATTGAAGCAGAATTTCAAGGTACATGTAATAAAATTGCCCAGTACACTAGTAAGAATTTTACAAATTGAGAAGTCTGCTATTTGTAGCAATCAGCACTAGAAACGCTGTCTTGTTTATGCCAACATGTACATGTTTTAAGATGAATAAATTTTGCATACATGTATATGTAAATTAGAGCTATAAATTTGGGGATAACATTTTTATCATTTCTCATAACATCCCTGTTATTTCATATTTGGCATTTGGGATGAGTGTCTTAAAAGACACAGCTTGAATTTTGTTTTCTTTATTTCTAAATTATAAATCAATATCATAAGCCAATAGTACTTAGATCTATGAAATACCAGTTGATGAAAAAATCATTGATCAAAATTCAAAAGAAACACAGAATAGCCAGCTTCTTCCATTGCTTGAATGAGCTGTGTATGCGGCAGCACATTTCATTGACAACCATTCTTTGCTAGGGTCACCCTTGCCTGTGGCTATTATTTCATTGTTTCAGCTGATGCAAAACTATTGATCAAATTTCCAAATGAGATTGAAGTGTTTGAGCAGTTTGATTTAGCACATGTAAGCTGGAATGCTACTATAAAAAGGTGAGCCCTTTTATTAGAAACTCATGTCTGGCTGGCTTTCTCCATACTCTTGCAGGCATCCTTAAGTTTCCCAACCATGTCCTGAAACAACAAGAACAAATGTTACATCTAAATGAGAACATAAGCAAGTAATTTCTTTACCTGGCCAGTTGAACCCCTTGGCCATTCAAGTCAGTTGTAAAATCTAACTGCTCATTTCAATTTCCACCGAAATCTTCTTTTCTATCCAACAGCAAAAACCACCAATTGAGAAAGACTACACTACACTACCTGCAGCTGTTCCACTGTGCAGGCAAACTGAACATCTTTCAACTCAGAACTTCCTGGTTCCTAGAGAAAAAAATACAGTCATTAAAGACTGGAAACTCCACTTTTCCAGAGCACTTAAAGTAATCTAGTAATTGACATTTAATTAGTCAATAGCTTCACTAAGTTGGCAGTTCATAGTAAAATAATGTTCTTATGACACAAATATTTCAGCATGATTGTAATACTGATCACCAAAAATCAGAAAACCTACCTCAGTCTTGAGAGTGACCAGATAAGTTGGCTCATTCACATGGTCCAGGTGGTTGTTCTGTGATACATAAAATTTAGCATATAAAAAGTCATGCACTTAATTATAGCTAATTAATGTTAAACCTTTAGAGCAGCCCAAGTTGTAAGCATTATATTGCAAGCAGGAATGACTACAGATGTTTCAACTGTCAACATGAAACACTAGGAAAATTACAGTAACTGTATTATACAAAAAAGTGGAATTTACAGTACCTTTATGTAATAGTCCAGTCTCCAGTCTACATCCACTATGTGTGGAAAACCACTGCCTGTGCTGTAATAGTGGAGAAAATAAAACAAGAATGTCACTAAAAACAACATTTTGCATCTACTTATCAATAAGAACCCCAGCAAACTCTTGCACTACTTATTCCACTGTCAGTTATTGTCAGTCTGTGGTTACACCATTTCTCCCTCAATTCCTGTGACGCTATTCGAATAATGGACACAAAAACAAACAGACAAACACACCAAAAACAAAACCTTTGTACTTGGAGGTAAGGACATAACATAGTGCACTTACCTACTCAACACAGATTGAAGTTCTGTCCTGTTACTCTGAAAAAAGAAAGAAAGAAATACCCTTCATTATTGAAAAACAACAAATTGAAATTGTAAGAAAATCAGAATGACATGCATACAGCAAATGATTACAAATATGAACTTACCATGTAGACATTGTTAAAGGCCTCTATTCTATCAGGACTCATCTTACAGTCTTCAAGAAGGGAACTGCAGAATGAATGAGAATGAATGATTGTTATCATCAATTTACTTATAATGTAATACAATATTGTCCTGTTGTCTTGCCTGCCAAAGTGAAAATGTAGAAACACAAAACAAGTTTTTGATAATTTGCAAATTTTTTTATGGATATGCAGTCGGCAGAAAGCTGGCTTTGGTGTCAGTTCTGAATTATGTTTCATTTTCAGATTTTTCAGGTAAAATAAGCACCTATCACATCACTACATCTACTTCCATCTACCAGTACCTGAGTGAGGGCCTGCAAGGGGGGGGGGGGTCCCGACAACGCTCTACGCTGAATTCGGAAACCTCTCGATTACGCTTTACGATAAATTCCAAGTGGCTACAACGCATTACGTAGAATTAAAACGGCCGATTAAGCTCTACGGAAAAGGGCTTGCGGGCCCCCTGAGTCCTTACCTTGTGTTAGTTGAGTCTGTGTTGTGTTTGGCAGCCTCCAGTAACAGGGTGGTGAGAGAAGCAAAAACCTGCTTCAGTACAGCAGGGTCAGCCTGGGTAACACTGGGGTCATCTGTGGGGACGGCAAGGTTTGGTCAGAATTTGGTCATCAGTGGCCATATACATGTAGCATGAGCATAGCCTCTTCACACATACATGGCCATACATCTCCAAGCAGATCTTTTGGTGGCTGTGCCTATCTATATACTCGCTTATACAGCTGCAAAGACAGTATCACATTGGCCAGGTAGTATCCCTTTGCCAGAGAGTTATCATTGACCATTGGTAACTGTCTGGCAAGTGGATACCAAAAGATCTGCTTGGACATGCTTTAGAGCTGTTAGAGATCTCATGCATTAGCATGAGATTAGTCTAGCATGTTCACACAACACAGTATCACTATACTATAAGTATGCTTCATAGATCAAAACAGGAAAAACCACCATGTACACATGCTTCAAGGGCGCTAGCTTAATATAGATCAGATATCATTCAGTGAAACTATGTTATATATTGCATAGTACTACAGGTGTACAGGTTTACGGGTGTAAAAAAAGAAGGTTGAAAGATCTTAACTAATTTGGGGGAGGGGGGCGTTTCGCGGTTCACGATTTCAGTGCAAATCGGTCTATAACGTAATCTCCAAGCAGATCTTTTGGTGGCAAGACAGTATCCATTGGCCAGAGGAGTGTCCATTAGCCACCATTTTTGAAAAGAAGTGCTCCTCCCTGTTCGAGTACCGGCAGATCTTCGGTGGCTAATGGACACTCCTCTGGCCAATGGATACTGTCTTGCCACCAAAAGATCTGCTTGGAGATTACTATAACGTACCTAAAACATCCCTGTCTCGCTGCCTGCCCTGTAAGAGTGTCTCGCAGGCTGACTTGACTAGAAAGTTGAAGGCTGGGTCGCTGATTTGGGCCGAATCCCCGCATAGCTGCAGCCCTTCCTGCACTTCCGTACTCAACTCCATGTTGGTTTGTTCCCGCAGTCTCGTGCCCAAGGCGGTGTGACAAACTACCCTGGGATCAAGATCGGGATCACCAAATCCTCGTTTCAGTCCAAAATTGCTCAACAAATCGCATTTTAAACTAAGACCATAAAATTATAAAACATTTCTGTAAGGTTGTCATAAATTTAGATAAAACATGCAAACTGAACTCATCTATAAAGAAAATATATGTACAGATCGTACAATAGCTGTTGGTTTTCGCCTTTCCTCAGCGATGTCTCTGTGGCGCAATCGGTTAGCGCGTTCGGCTGTTAACCGAAAGGTTGGTGGTTCGAGCCCACCCAGGGACGACGTTATTCTTTTCTCAAAATTTTCTTTTTACACCATGAAGTATAATTTTTGCAGAATTTCTAACCTTTGTATGCTACAGCAATGAAGTTTTTCTATGTTTTTAGGGGTATAATCCTGAGTAGTTATCGAGCATGTTGGATCAGATTACTTCCGGGAATGCAATTATATCTTGGACCGCTGCGAGGCGTTGTTGTCGCATCCAACGCTCTAGTCTAATTGGTCAAAGCGTTGTCGTGCAATAAAGTTCTTTCTATGCATGGAGTTAAATGGTCAAAGTACGCAAATTGGTAGATAACTAGAAAGGCCAATATTTGCTTTGGAGCAAATACAGCGATGGGTTCACCACATTTTACGACATGGCAGGGAAAGAATGAGAAACACAAGGGAAAACAATGATTTACATTGATATAACTATAATATGAAGTAAAATACAACTAAAACAACAGTTGGATAGCTATTCCCTACTTTATTGGTTAGGATTTTTAATTGCATAATGCAAACTGTTGATTTTCAAAATAAATAAAAAACGTCCATGCCCCGCATTCCAATGCTGGAGCAGGAAAGCTTGAAATCCCTACCAAAACACTTGAATACAGACATACTGTCAGTATGGAAATGCTCTGTGCAGGTGTTAATCAAGTTAAATCCCAACAGCCAATCAGCAAGAAATGCTCTCTGCAGGTGGAAATGCTCTGTGCAGTCTGTTAATCAAGTTAAATCCCAACAGCCAATCAGCAAGAAGAATAGAGGAAAGCTGCATGCCTATTGGTTGATGCCCTGCATTCCATTGTGATGACTCATGCCCAAACGTGGTAAACAAGGCACACTAACACAGTAATACATTTGCTATAACACAGCCAAAAAACTCAAATAAAACCATTCTAAAAGCCTGTATCACAATAATTTAAAAAACGCCTAGGGCCAGGGGTATTTGCCCACTGTACCTCCATACCAAATTTCAGGACCTCGGGCCCTAAAATGAAGAAGCTGAATCCATTTAAAAAATGGCAGGAGAAGAAGGAGAAGGAGAAGGAGAAGGAGGAGAAGAAACATCAGAAAAAGCAATATGGATTCACCACCACTTCGTGGTGTGGTGAACCCATAATAACTAGAATAATAATTTTAGTACATGTATCATTTTAAGCTCCCGATCACAGCAATGCGAATAAACGACACACTGATAACACGTGACTCGATTCACGATTGAGCAGTGGATTAAATTTTGGCAGATAGTTTGTGGCGTCATCCGTCTCTTTCGGGAATGGCTGTAGCTGTAGGGTCACTATACATATTGCGTATTTTTTTTCTCCTTTCGTAATGACTTCTACCAACACAAAATAATTTCCAAGAAAAGGATACACAAGGATACACATTATTCAAGCAACTGAATAAATTTTCATAATCTACCCAATCGTCTGAGTTACATTTTCCTTGTGTGTCTCATTACCTGGATGTCTAACCTTCATCAACGCAAGAAAACTTAAAATATAACCACAGTTACGCCAAAAAGCAGTTACTCAAGCAACTGGATATGATTTTGAAAACGTCAGACGTTTCAGCTAGTATCCACTAGCTTTCGTCAGTGACTGAGAGACCAGAGGGGAAATGCAGGTTTATAAGCACAAACTTAAAGTATACATTTAATTTGAAAATTACTGTTACTAAAACTCCAAATTCAAACGGAAAATCACCAGGAACCGCAGAAAATCTACCCGGGCCCTGGATCGTATGTAACTTGATCTGTCTGCATATTTGACCCTGTGAGAGATGTTCCCTAAATGGTGAGACAAGGTCAGCTGACCGGAGAAACACTCGCCAGAGAGACGAGTCCATTAAAGGGGAGGGGGGATGTTCTGTAGTCATAATCTCCAAGCAGATCTTTCAGTGGCTGTAAAGGCATGTAAATAATCATATATAGTTTGTCAGCCCTTAATCCTAATGTTTATATGCTATGTGTAATATATTGTTTTATGACACGGAGTGACGTTCAATTTTAGCGATATAAAAACGGTTAAACGTTTTAAATCGAAGCGATGGCGTTGTGTACTGTATCATATTATGCTGGTATAGTATTGTGTTTGAAATAAACCAATGATACAAGGCAGTAACAAATTGGCTAGGCTGTATCTGTTTGTGAAGAGTGCTTGGGTGGCAACATAGTATTGAATTGTCTGGCAAATGGATACAGTCTGACCAATTATTTGATACTGTCTTTGCAGCCACCAAAAGATCTGCTTGGAGATTACTGTACTGTAGTCAGTCCACTTGGCACTGGTGCTAAGACTTGTCATCATGCACATTAATTTTTTTTCAACGAATTTCGAGAGCGCGTCAAACTATTATTTACTACAGCACCGACTTGGCGGCATGTTCAATTTTCAAGATCAAGTTCTGTCGAAACAACAAATAAGAAGTGTTTCTGTACTTCCACGTCATAATTCAATATCATTATCATTTATGCGCTTCAAACTTTCAACCATCCGATAATGTTCTCAGTGGTGTGGTTTATATGCTTAGCGTTTGCCAGTGAATTTGTTTTGGGCGGGCCCCGGGGGGCAAATGTTAAGAATGTTAACAAGAACAAAACAATGTAAATGCTGTGTCAATCATATAGAGGATAATCTGATAAGACTGAATGACACAGGTATAGTATATGCAACGTTACATGCATGCATAATGATATCTTAGTTCATGAACTTGTTCAATGCGTCTGCAGCTATGATGAATTTAAGGGTCACACTACCAGTACATTTTTCATCGTATATACAGATTGTAGTATCTTACTATAGATGTCACAAGTATACGTGCCTTCAATTTGGGTTGTCCCATTGCAATATTGGGTTGTAAAATGTACTCTACGATCTGTCCTCCCCTCCTGTTGTCCCACAGTGGACTGTTCCGCCCGCCGCCCTCCCTGATGACCGACTGGGCCTGCTCAGTAGCAGTGTAGGCCCCTGTCCTCTCCCCCCGCCCGATGTCGAAACGCCTTCTCCTCTGCTTGCTGATCGATTATGACAAGCCGATGCCGTGAGAGCCCGCCGGAGAGCAGCCACCCAGGCCCGCCCAGACGAGGCCCCGTCCAGTCCTGCCACCGAGAGGACCTGGCCGCGGCCTCGGGCGACAGGCGATGGAGCGCCGAGGAGTTGCAGCTGAGTGGCGCGCTGCTGCCCGGAGAGACGTGGGGAGACCATATTGACAGGATAGACCCACTGGAACAAGAGGAGGGGAGATCTTTTGTAGATGAAGGAAATATTCACTCAGCCGAAGTAGACAACAGGTAGGATTTTTCATCTCTAACCTATTTCTGTTTGACACAGCGTTTTAAAAAGTCGCTCCATTGCAAAACGCGCGCTTAAAACTTTACTATTTGTAAACACCATCTGATGCCCTCCCCTGAAAGTGTTCTCACTCAATGTCATAAATATATATCCTTGCGTCGGTGCCAATATAGCAGGCAGGACGCTAAAATAAAACGACACCAAAACCTTTCAGCCATTCCGATTTCGTTCTGGACAAATTGCACGACCGCAACCTGTCTTTAACATCTATCGTACGGACGGTAGATGTGATTGGTTGTGTTTTAAACATTCGAAAAGTATGGACGTTTGATAACGGTCGTCTGAAAAGCCATGACGTAACGCCTGTGCTGTGCCTTACCCTTTTACGGCAGAACGTCACAACACAACAGATGTGAGCGTCCTGCCGGGTTCGGACATAAACCGGACATATGGAGTTATGACAAGCCCTGAGCAGATACAAGGGTCCAGCTCAATATATTAGCAACATTTAGTACCTGTTTTTAGTATTGTATTTCTATGTGTTCGCCTACCGTATTTCCTAGAGTACCAAATGTTGCAAAAATAATCGCAAAATGCTGAGAGTGAGCCAGATCCTTGTAGATTAGCTACTGACGGCGCATTCTTAGTGTCTTACACCTATCTTTGCAACCTTTAGTACTCTTTTCTAGTATCGTATTTTTATAAGTTCGCCTCCTCCTAATCTCCAAGCAGATCTTTTGGTGGCAAGACAGTATCCATTGGCCAGAGGAGTGTCCATTAGCCACCGATGGCTAATGGACACTCCTCTGGCCAATGGATACTGTCTTGCCACCGAAAGATCTGCTTGGAGATTAGCCTCCTCCTTCATTGGGTACTATATGGTGCCATAATAAGCATAAAGCGCTTAGAATTATCCCATAATAAGTTACATCTGCTTGAAGCTCATATTCATGCTATTGACGGCGACAACAGTTTGGAAAGTTGTTTGGGAGTGACTGATACTTTCACTGATCAGGGAGGCTCCATTCATGTGGCATTGCTATAATATAGTATCATACGGCAGATATATATATATATATATGAGATTATATCATGCATTCTTTCTATAAAATTGAAAAACGCATACCAAACAGACTACTGATATGAGATGACAAAAGAAGCTGGAAAACTGTAATATTTGATAGTACGATTAATGCAGATACAGCATGGAAGAATTGTCTTTGGTAGATACGTATAGAATACGTATAGTATAGAATTAATAGTTTTGAAGGACAGAACAACTGTATTCATCACATTAACTACTCTCCAAGCAGAGATTTGGGTTTTGGCTCATATTTGGCATGTTTTTAGGCTTTTAATTTTAGCGGGCTTTCTATCTTGCACTGGTATCTTTTTTTTATGGGTTGGGGTAAATAAAAATGTACCAGAGCAAAC